TATCCGTACAAGGAGGTGAAGTTGTAAAAGGGCTTGAGTCATGCCGGAATCATATAGCTGGAAAGGAGTAGACCCAATCTCAGGAAAATCAGGCATAGAACCTCACGCAAGCCAGACGTGGTTGTACACATAGGTTGTAACATCACCAGGACGACTAGTCCTACTCATACTCATGAATTGGGATACCAAATATACACAGCTTCAGTGTACCTGTGAAGCCTAGCAGAATACCATCTACCATCTTGTCCAAACGCCGTGAAACATCACCGTCATATCACAGATTTTGTCCTCCAGGGATTCTTCTAGCGATCGCCTAGATCAAAACCTGAAGCCCTTGATCTGTTCCTCACATCACTTGGCTCCCTTCCATACGCCAGAGGGTCGTCCCGAGGGAGTTCCTGACGCTGCCAGTTCCACGGCATCCAGCCACTGCTTGTCCTTCGACCGAGTGCGGGTGGTGTGAGGGGGTACGGTGGTCGGTCGGAGCCCGAGCTCAGTTCGTCGCGCTCGATCCTGTCGAATTCCGCTTCGCTCCTGTTACGGGAGAGGCTACCAGAGAGGCTTCCAGTACTCCTGTTGACTTCGTGGTATCTGCTTCCGCCTGTTTGTTGTGTGCGGATGTTTTCTTGTTCGCGGTCGAAGGCTTGCAGGAGGGTCTCGAGGCGCTGGCGTTGCGACGCAACGTAATCGAGTCGGTCGTTGTTGTTGCGGATGGAGTCTGGGACGAGGTTCCCGGCGCCGCGGCTCAGATCTGAGGCTTGCGCATCTCGAGTGCCTGCGCTACCGGCACCGTAAAGTGCGCTGGCTCCGCTGAGTGCTTGGTTGACAAGCCCGTATAGGTCGTTGCTGCCCCTCGCCGACGGCATCTGGAACCTGCTCATGAGGTTCTGTGCGTACGTCTGTCCTTCAGGTCTCGGCGACTGCGGCTTTCCAGGTGCGAAGCCCAGAACGTTGACCTTGACCCACTCGATGCCCATCTCGACATATGCCATGCCTGCCGATTTAGCACGATCATGGCTTTGTGTAATGAACTCGTCGATCTCCCTCTCATGGTGGTATAGGAAAGGCTCCATGTACTCCTGGTACAGGTAGTTTGCACCCTGCGAACCAGGCAGGATCAAGTAAAGGTGTGCGAAGAAGCGAATCCATGAGTAGAAGGGTACCCAGCTGAGGATGAAGTCGAAGGTGTTCTCTACGGCGGTGAAGGCGGAGAGGACGACGAAGTAGATCAGCCAGGGTGCGAGGAGGGCTGGATCCGAGGTGTGAAGAGCTTTGTAGGAGGCGAAGATAGGGAAGAAGACGGTGGTTGCAACGCTATCGCCATATTAGCTAGGTTCTCTGCGAATACGTCGCAGCAAAAACAAAATACTACATATCGCGGTCATGCGAGCTCCAAGTAAGCAAGCGGCGAGCTCACGATACCTCATCAAGCCCCAAAGTTTGTTGGAGAATTGGCAGCTGCAGGCGGGGGCGGGGTAATACTTACGTCAAACCGTCGGCGACAAAGCCGAACATGATTGCAGTCGTTGGGCGTCTTCTTTGGGTGTAGGTGTTTAGGTGGGAGATGCAAGACCAGGACTTACAGGTAGCGAAAGCTCAAGCCTCACGGATACGCGGGCGGAGATGTGGAGTGGCTCAAGCTGATGATCCATCCGATGTACGTCAGTCGTCAGTCGGCGGTCAAGGGCGGCGCGCTATCCACTTTCGGTCCTTTGTGTGTGAGCTCCCGAACGTCAGCTGCTGCAAAGAGTGTCTGATCGCGATGCTAGGGATTGTAATCAAGGATATTAAACTCTCACACTGACTAGCTATACGTGGGTCCCCTTTGTTGTTGGCGGTAGTTGCAGTCGCGACTTTCCCTTCGAACTCACGTCGCGAACGCGTGTCGGCCCAATCATAGCAGCTACCACCACCACTTCAAAACATCGATTCTTCTTCTCTTCCATCTCTTCATATCTCTCTCTGTACTCACCGACGCTTTGTTTCGCTCCGATCCCGTTCGCTTGGGCCTTTTCAGCCGCGTTCTGGTAACTTCATGAAAGGCAGTAGCGACCAGGTACCGCGATAGCATCATCACGATGCCGTTCCTTCCCACGCGACTGCACGGTGCAGCTACTGTATAGTTCTTTTGACGAAGATTGGTTAAATCAGATTCCATGGGGTTAGCTAAGGTTCGGCTCGTCTACATATTTGATTGCGCGCGGAACCCAGTTGCGCTCATCCACTGCTTGACGCGCCCACGTCCGAGACTTGTACCCTTTTACAACACTCGCCTTACAAATATCCGAAATGGCAGGCCGGGGCAACTACCAAGACGCTTCTTATGCTGCCATGGCGCCAAGATACCGCTTATCAGAGCCTTGCGCTCGATAACAGCTCCGCACCCCGCGTTTGCGGCCGTTGTCGCGGTTGACATCATCCCGTTCTTCTCCAAACCGCGGAAGAAGAAGCTATCGTGAACAATAGAATGCGGCAAGGGTTACGTAAACTAGCTATCTTCTCCCATCATATCAAGCTAGATGCGTTAGTTTGCAACGATGTCCTTGGCTTGTGCTTGTAGTCCGTCGACACTCCAGTAAAACGTCTTCACTGTATCTCTAGGAGATATGGCTTCTTGGTCACGCCAGGATAGAACGTTCCGCAAACCTCGAAGCGAGGAACTTGAATGCCGAACGACGTACGCCAACCTTCAAGTATCCATGCCTCGCATTAAACCCTGTCGTCTCAAATGTTTATTCAGCGTAGGTCCTGACTAAGGCGGATTGCGTCTTTGCGGATTGGATTTCGACTTCCGAGGTCTCAAGGCTGTGCTGAAGGTATAAGAATGAGGTATGCCCTTGGTTCACAAGTAGCAGAAACATCCTTGAAGTGCCAACACTCATACCAAACGCCAAGATGGTCGTTATCAAAACTCTGGCAGCTCTGGCATCCCTGGGGTTGACCATAGCAGCGCCGCAAGCTTCAGTGTCACCATCGGCTGTGAGCTCTCCCAGTCCATCCGCATCAAGTTCAGCGACTCTTACTACTGAGGAGACGGAAGACCTGTACAGTCTTCATGAAGAGCTAGTCAATATCCCCTCTATATCTGGGGATGAGGTTGAATGCGCAGAGTTTATATCCAAATATCTCTCGGATCTGGGTTACTACGTCGAAGAAATCCCTGCTGGAGACACTGGCACTTTCAATGTCTTCGCTTATCCCCAAGAGCTCAAAGATGAGGGAGTTTGGCCGGAAGTTCTGATCACTAGTCATATCGACACTGTAAGCATACTCGAACCGAGACATGCTCCAACAACAACGTCTGACACAAAATTAGGTACCACCATTCTACCCATTCGAGCGCAAGGAAGAGAACGGCACAATCTACCACTTCGGACGTGGCTCGGTCGACGCAAAGGGCCCCGTGGCAACCATGATCATCGCATCCCACAAGCTCTTCCAATCTAGGACCGATACGCCCAGCCTAGGAATGCTGTTCGTTGTCGCCGAAGAGACTGGCGGCGCTGGAATGAGAGCCTTCGCCGAGTACGCATCCAACACCACCTTCCGCGCAGGTATTTTCGGGGAACCAACGGAAGGCAAGCTAGCTAGCGGACACAAAGGATACCTGGGTGTGAGCTTGGATATCACAGGTCGATCTTCCCACTCTGCATATCCCTGGCTCGGTGTGAGCGCCATCAACTATCTTGCCGAAGCTATCGTTGGTCTGAACATGCTCGAACCGGCTCTACCGAGAAGTGAGCTACTAGGCGCAACAACTCTCAACGCTGGACTTGTTGCGGGTGGAGTCGCTAGCAATGTTGTTCCCGACCATGCTAACGCAAGTATCGCCGTTCGTATAGCTCGCAGCGAAGACGACGCAGTCGACCTTGTGCAAGACATGATCGCTGGAATGCTGTCGCCTTTCGAAACGCGCGCAAAGGAGGAAAATGCTACTTTCGAGGTCGTCTTTTCGAACGCTAGGTATCCCGCGGTCATCCTCGACACTGACGTTGAGGGCCTGGAAGTCGCGCCTGTGTTCTTTGGAACGGATATTCCCAGCTTGCCGCAAGTGGATAAAAAGTACTTGTTTGGTACTGGTACAATCGAGGTCGCGCATACGCCTGATGAGATGTTGAGTCAAGATGAACTTGTGCAGGCAGCGGAGGCGTACGGCATGATTCTTGAGAGTCTGTTCTCGGAGTAGAAAAGTTCGAGCTCTGGTACGACAAACGGGTCTCAATGTCATGTGGTATCATATAATGCAAGCGTAATGTCCTATAGTACACATTGATGAATGTCTACCGAGCCATCTGACGCTGAGTTGCTTTACAACGAAATGCTCGTGTGACAGACCATATCCCGTCGTTTGCGTAGCAATATGGAACTGAGGTCATCGTCGAGCTTGCACAAGACAATTGGCATAGGCGCGACATGGAGGAAACTGCTTGCTTAAGCCAGGCGCCCACCAGAAGCAAGCGCAGAAATCTGTATATGAAGTCGCGCCGGAGGCTCTCATAACACATCGGTTCACACCCTCCACTCCATCTCTTCCATATAGGCGGTATCGAGATCATGTCAGGGGCGCACCACCACCGCTCTTTCCTCAGGTGTTTTTCCGCTCTTTCGCCGCTCCTTCTCCGCCGGTAACTGATGCCGTCATCGCTCTTTCTCCAAGTGAAGGCTGTTTGTAGCGCTCTCTTACCGCACCTTCAGACCTTTCATTGAGGCACTTTTGCTAAGTGAGAGACGGGAATAATGGCGCCATAATGCACCTGACGCCTAAAGCAAACGGTCTTGGGCTCCTGTCTTCGGATCTGGGGTGTCCATATAAACCGCTGATCTGGTTCCTCCTTGCCTCTTTCTTTAATCAGTAATCCATCAGTATAGGCGGTACACCTCGACTAATACATACCTCTTTCAAATCTCGAACACCTCTCTCACACTATACCTTTGAGTCGCCTACTATATACAACTTTCAACCCTTCAACACACTACTCATACCACACTTTCAAGCCGACATGTCCAACCCACCTCAGTACGGACCTACCGCCCTACCTCAAGGCGCAAACGATGGTGGTGACGGCTCTTCTCTGGACAAGGCGACATGGGTAGCTGGTAGCGACAAGAACGCCAGGAGCTTCATTATACTCCAAGGCAAAGACTATGTACGCTGCAACATGGGGGATGCTCTCCAGTTCTACGACTCCGGCTACCGCGTATTCGACCCGCCTACTGGTCGCCGAGTCAAGTTCCAGTACACGCAACCTGGCCGTCCCAAGTTCGGCGCTTTTGAGCACCAGTACTGGGAAATACAGATGGAGGAACATGCTTCTCTTGTGAGGGGCGATCGCTTGCCTGGAGAGGATCTGGGTGAAGGCAAGTTTCATGTTGATCAAGAGAATGATATGATTGCTGACATGTTATAGATCCTGAGGAGGAGTATGAATTCGCAGGAGATTCTGTCTTCGACCGTGCTGAACAACCTCCTTCGACTCCCTCGAGGAGTAAGTAGCGACCTCGTCACATCTCTCTTGAGATCGAGCTAATACTTTCAAGGTACACGTGGAAACCTTGCTACTTCTCCTCCTTCTGGCGGTCGCGGTCGCGGCAGCCCCTCTACTCCTCGAGGTCCTAGCTCTGGTGGTCAGCCAGGATCTGGCCGTGGATCAGCTGGTCGCGGGTCCAATACTCCACGAGGTCGCGGCTCAGCCGGCTCCGGACGAGGTCAAGGATCTCCACAGTCACCAACGTCACCCTCCTTCGGCAAGGGTAAGGGTCCAGCTGGCTCTCCTAGCGGCGGCTCTCCCGGTTCTGGAGCGGCCTGAGATGGAGGAGGGCACTACACTTTCCTTCGTATTTGCTTTCTGGAGTCTTGGTCGGTGAAAGGAGTCTTGCATTCGGGATCGATTTAGCAAGGCGTTTGGGATGATACTGCGAATACCCCTAGACCTTTCGATATAGACTTTGCAATTATACATCCGGTTTTCAACTTGAAGTCGAACCTGAAAAGATGATGTTGGTGAGAAGAATGTGTACTCAGACTGCGTCCAACTCCGTGATAGCTTGTTGAAGTTCTCCACACGTCATCTTCGTGATTACTCCGCGATCTAGAAAGGACCTGAGAATATCCAGGCGTACGTAGGACATGTACTGCGATGATCTGAAAAGTAAGTTGCAGAATACGTGGCTGCGCTAATCAGTACCTGAGGGTCTACAGACGTCCTCATGCAGGGTACCGCGTCGATCCAAAATGCACGATGAGGTATACATGTTACTCAGATCTAACGGAATTATTAACAAAAAGGAAGCCTGCGGTCCCTCGATGCGTTGGACGCATGCCGCGGATGAGTAGTGATGAAGGTGTTGAAAGAAGGAGGCTGGAGGAATGAGGTCGGAATTGGCCGAGGAGCGTTCCGACGAAGGCGCAGGGCGTGTCTTGGAACCCGAGAACGCGTAAAATACGACCAACAAATCATCGCTTATCTGATGCTGCATCTGACATATCCGTCAAGCTTCTGTAAGCCTGTCAAGATGGTGAAACCACGCAGATCGATCTCGGTCGGGATACACCTGCCAGCTCCCTCGTGCAGCGCGCCTGCCACGCGAGCAATGACGTGCGACGATCTCCGACGAGCGCGTGCGTGACCATCACCAGGTCGCTAAACTTCGCAGTCTACATACATCATCCCTTCCGGCCATCGCGACGTTCGCTGTGCTCCATATTTATTTCGTATGGAGCGATCAGCCACAACTACTCATGTCCTATGACGCGCCTGTGGCTGTTGTCCATTGGTCGTACCGGTCTCCGCTGGATCCGCTAAATGCTGCTCACGCCTCGCACCTACTCCCTCGCTCACATTGCCGACACGGGCCGCAAACGCCCTGAACCCTCGTACTTTGTGTGTGTCAAGTCGCGGAAGGAACGCGAAGCCGAGGAAAAGCGCGCGCTGAAGATGTTGCTGCTGCATCAAAAGGGGAGCGTCAAGGTGGGAGAGGTTGTGAGGTGAGTTCTCAGGGTCTGCCGGCGGGATGGCATGGATGCTGTACGCACTGCCTATACGAGATGGGCAGTGCGCGACAACATTTAGGGAGATTGTAGGACGGAATACTAAGTCGCCATGCAGATACACGCTCACATACACCCCCTCCGAAGACCGCATATTACCGCCTCCTTCCAGCCTCCACGTTCGCATACGAAACTCTTCCGCCATCCCTCTACGCGCCGCATACCTCCACGGGCCATACACGATTCACGTATCCGCCTACCCTTCAACATTCAACCCGAACAAAAAGTCCGACGCAACATACGGCGAGCCTGACTTTGAGCCTAATGTCAAGGCTGGTGGATACTGGAACACCAAGTTGACTGTTCCGGAACAATACAGAAGCGATATCAGGGAGGACGACGGCACCCCGAAGAGCCTCACATGGATCATCGAGATCGCGTCGCAAATCATTTTCTCCAATTCCGCGTCTGTAAACTACGAGTTGTTGGTGGCACGCGACGAGCGATCACTAGACCTAGGCTTCACTGCTGTGACTGGCAATAGCCATGGAACGCCAGGAAAGGTGCAAGACCACCAACAGGGCAGCCAGAAACATGTGTCGCACCATCCGGCACAGCCTAAGGGGGTGTATTCAAAGGCGGTCAAGCTAGTGGTTGACGATACTACGAGCTTGTGGAATACACCGGAACTACCAGAGTGGAAGGAGGAGGACGAGGTCTCTTCAAGAAAGTCGAAAGATCATAGCAGTCCGACGGAGAACCGACAGAAGAAGAAGAATATACACCTTGTGATAGTAACTCATGGTCTACACAGCAATCTTGGCGCGGACATGCTATATCTGAAAGAGAGCATTGATGCGACGGCAAAGCAAGCGCGGGAAGATCGAAGACGGCGGCGAAGAGAGGAAAGAGGAGCCAAGAAGACCGGATCGGATCAAGATGCGTCGACAGCACCACTGTCAGGCGGCCAAGAGGACATACCAGATGATGAGGAGGATGACGATGAAGAAGATGTGATTGTTCGAGGTTTCGACGGCAACGTGATACGTACAGAACGTGGTATCCAGTATCTCGGGAAGCGACTCGCTAAGTACGTGTTGAACCTGACCTACCCTGATCAACCATACCTGCCGATCAAGAAGTCCATGGGGCAGAAGTTGTCCAACACATTTTCGCCAACGAAGGATAAGCCAGACGAAGGCATACCGTCCCATCACGGTAGCAGTGTGATGCACACATCCCCAGGACATGACAAGCGTGCATACAAATTCACAAGCATCAGCTTCATCGGCCACTCTCTCGGAGGACTGGTACAGACGTACGCAATCGCATACATCCACAAGCACTCTCCCAACTTCTTTGACACAATCAAACCCATCAACTTCATCGCTATGGCGTCTCCATTCTTAGGACTGAGCAATGAGAACCCCACATATGTGAAATTTGCCTTGGACTTTGGCCTAGTGGGGAGGTCAGGCCAGGATCTCGGTCTTACTTGGAGGGCACCGACATTGGCAAAGAGCGGCTGGACGGCTATGGGTAACGTGTTTGGTAACCAGACGCATGATCAGCATCAGGAAGATCCCGGCGCAAAGCCTCTGCTGCGCATCCTGCCTACTGGCCCAGCGCACCAAGTCTTACGAAGATTCCGAAACCGTACTCTGTACTCCAATGTTGTCAACGATGGTATAGTACCGTTACGTACAAGCTGTCTTCTGTTCCTAGACTGGAGAGGCTTGGGTCGTGTTGAAAAGGCTCGCAGAGAGAACGGTCTCATCGGCACAGTAGCGGTATGGGGTTACGGCCAGATTACTGGGCAGAATTCTTCGCCCAACCCCTCTAGAATTGGATTCTCGGACGATGAGGGTTCTGGGGTTGAATCGCCAACCTATAATGGCAACGATACTACCGTACCTCTGCCAGGCGCCGACGTCACAAATCAGGAAGACGAAGTACAAGTATCTACTGCAGAGCCAACAGCCCACCAGGCCATCGAAGGAGGGAAGAAGAGTCCAGAAGCCAAGGAGCCGAACGACCAGTACTTTCAGCCGCAAAACACATTGATGCAGTGGTGGAGCTACATCAGGCCGACTGGAAAGCACACTTCGCGCGACAAGAAGATGTTTAGTCGTAGTCAGACTATTGGGAAAGACGAAGAAGACGAGCTTTCTCCGGCTGAAGCAGACCACGCGACATCGTCACATAGCGCACAACCAAGGAAGCGACCCCAAGCAACCCGTGGAGACTCAATTGTCGATAATCCCAAGAGCCACCTAGCACCACCCAAAACGACCATCTTCGAGTCTGCTGGTGACCTGATCAACCCTCCTGTTCCTCCTCAGTCCTGGATCACAGACCCGTCCACTCGAGCACGCACCATCTTCCACGACAGAATTTACCATCCTGAAGACATTCCTCCTCCACCTACGAAAACGAAGCCAATCCGCAACTTTTCTGGTGACAGTACTGCTTCCAAGGCATCGACAACAAGTGTCGACGAGAGTGTGATGCGCGTGGAAGAGAAGATCGCTCGCGCTTATCACAAGGACCTTTCTTGGCGCAAGGTTCTCGTCAGCCTTGAGCCCGACGCTCATAACAACATGATAGTACGTCGTATGTTTGCTAATGCTTATGGCTGGCCTGTCGTCAAGCACCTTTGCGATACGCACTTCGCAGACACTTACTCGGCAAACACTCGGGATGAAGAGGAGCCCGCCCTTGATCGTGCACAAGCTGTGAACAAGCCCATTAACGAAGACGGCGAACACGTGAAGGGACAGGAGCGACTGCAGCCACCTATCGAGCGCACTGATAGCGAGATGAGGGAAGTCGCGGACGAACTAGCCCCGCTCAAGCCGCCCAGTCTAAGGATACCCAAGAGATCGAATACGACCGACTCGACCCGTAGTGTGGGTTCGGGCGATTGGGACAGTATTTACTTCGGGGAGACTAGTGACGAGGAGGATGAAGTGGATGACCGCAACGCTGTCCAGAAGTTCTTCCAGCCTAACATGCCCAGAAGCCCGCGAAGTCCTTCCGGAGGTCCACCCAAAACACCGGATGGCAAAGGCACGAGCGATGCAGACATCTCCGACTTCCTCCATGGATCCAGCACACTTGAGGTTCACCGAGGTCTTGGCGCAAGTCCCAGCAGCAAGTCATCGAAGTCAGCTACATTGACCCGCGAGCCGGATTCAATGGAGTCGACTGGCGAACCACCCAAGCCTTCTGAGGAAGCAAGACCGGTAACACCTGCTGGTAGGATCAGCGGAGTTGGGTTGAGGAGTTCTATCGATATCCCTGCGTCGCCAGAGGCTGGACGAGCAAGAAGTGGGAGCACGGTCACTGAGCAGGTCGCGAGGCTTAGCAGCCCCAAGAGCGACAAACATACAACGGGCTCGTAGCATCGAGTTCGTCGATGGTTCAGACAAACGATGGCAGCCCTTAGACGCAGGAGTTCGAAGTTGCGACGTCGAGATAACATCCGCGTTTCCAGCGTGTAGCACAGGTTCAGAAATTTTCCCTGGTCTATCCTTCAACTTCTTGTGAGGGTCAGTCAAGCGTTTTCGGTCTCGGGTGCAGTGGGTGTTACGTGACGTTGGGTTTGAGATCAGTGCACAGAGACGGATGCTACACGAGCGAAGTCATGGATCGTAGCACAATCGCGTACACAAAGATACCCCCAGATCTTATTACATGGTTTGTAGGAGCAAAGGTCTTCTTTTTCTCGTAGCGTCGTTTAACTCTATTTACTCTCTAATTCTCTTCTTCGGGGTCGTTCTTTCCGTCGCAACATGCTCCTTCCCAAATCGGTGTCTTTTCAACAGGTGTCACCGTGCGTAGTAAACATATCGGAAGCGACTGATTCTCTCATTTCCTCCTTCACTCGCTGGTCTCGAGCTTCTCCTCGGCTACGTCATCTTTATGCCGCGCCTTCCTCATTCACTGCCGCTACTGTGCGGCAACACGCTCCGTTTGTTGGTGGACAGAGCTCCAAGCTCGGTTTGTTGTGGTCGAGTCACCACTTGAGTGGATCACCACATTCCACAACCGCAACCCGATTGCGATTTCCCAATGCACCGATAGGTGTCGCGCTTCTTCTTTGGTCTGGGTCGCTGGTTTCGTTCTGGTTTGATTGCCTCGTCGCACTCGAATCGCGCACCTGCACCACCGCCAATCGGCACTACCCTACAGTACACGAAAATATATCTCTTTTGGGATAATGGTCGTACCTGATTCCGCCAACCCCGCGTGGAGCATGCGCCCTGCCGCCGTGATGGTTGGCGGCCAGAGACGCCGCAACACGCGCCGTTCCAACGCACCGCGCTCCAACACTACGCCCAATCTCGGTCTTGACTCACTCGCCGGGAGGGAGAATGCGAGTGGTGTCACCGCAGCACAGCATACGGATCAAGTTGAACATTCTCATGTTTCACCTCCTTCTGCGCCCTCGAATCCTATGGTCAACTCCTACGCACACAACAGTGGCCCTCCAGGCGACCGTCATCGCCCTCTCCCAGCGCGCCCATCCGATGGCTTTTCGACTATGCCGGCCGCCCATTCGCCTACACCCACAACAGGAAGCGCATCAACAGCAGCGACTGAGGGTAAGAAGAGGCATGGCAAATTCGGCCGCAAGGCAAAGGACCAAGACCGCCCGAGCAGCTCCCATGAGCCTACTCCCCAGCTGTCGCCTCTACCGCCGCTGACGCCTATCAAGGCTGCACTGTTGCTGGGCGTGGACCCTGGACCTAGCCCTGGTAGACCCCGGAGTACCTCTGTAGGCCGTCCAGCCCAGAACGATGGCGGCTACGATAGCCTACCGATACGCCCAATATCGACAAGGCGAGGCTCTATGTCGGCAATAACCACTCAGAAGAGCGCGTCGGACAGACAGACGAGATTCACGGAAGAGGGCCTTGACACGGAGCCAGCAAAGCCCAAGGGCTTCTGGGGCAACACTAACCGGAAAGCTCAGCGAATGTTAGGCTTACTCCCATCTGCACCATCTAATGCTAGCCGTGAAGCCGACATGGGGCGCGTCGCAGCTGTTTCTCTAGCGTGGCGTCCAGAAGAACATACTGATACATACCGTAGTAGCGACGCCGAACGCCATGGTCAGTTCCGTTCGCTCCCACCAGTTCCGCCCGTTGTTCCCGAAGCTCGGAGAAGACGTATGCGCAAGAAGCTTCCTAAGGAGCTCGAGAGGATGGCACCCATCACAGAGACGTCGCACGATGAGCTGCGCACTTCCTACAAAATCAGCGAACATGATCCTGAGCTGAACGATATCTCTGAGTATGCAAAAGCTCCTTCCAAGGCACCGCTATCTCGGTCAGAGTCATTGCTCACAACAGATATCAGGTACGAGTTGGAAGAGGACGACCTCTCACTCACAGACGAAGTCATTGACGAGGCCACTCACGACGAGCAAGACGACTTCGCGGCCCATCCTGGTAGCGAGGTTGACGTCAAAAATGGCGCAATACTGCAATCTACGGTGTTCCGCCTCCGCGGCCCACTGCAAACGGTTGAAGACCGTTTGCTTGACGAGGCAGAGACGCGATTAGCACTTAGCAAGGCTGTGCTAGACCAAAACGACGATGATAGACTCACTCTCGACACCACATACGCTACCCTGAAGGCGTCTAACGAAGCCATGAAAGCAGACTTTGCAGCTGCACAGCGTTGTCACGCCGCTCCAGGAGAGTGTGAACTCTGCGGTGGTGCGGATAGCCAGGTTGACAGCGAAGACGAGGATGACTTGGACGAAGAGCCCACCTTACATGACGCCACGACCGTACCCTTCATGCGGGTCACACCCGGTATGGTCAAGCTTGTCGATATTGCGCCTAAGAGGAAGAAATCAGCTGTACCTCTGGCACCGCCTGCACCACCCACACGAGTCGCACCGGATGCCCCACCTAACCCACTGCCCCTGCTAGCCCTATCTAGTCAGCTCAAGGCCCCCTTCAAACCTACCTACTACTTTCAACATGACGAAAAGATCAGTCCATTCAACGAGCGCAGTGAGCATGTGGAGGTGCGTAAGTATCTCTCAACCACTACAGATGCAACTAACAAATTCCAGCCTACCGTGATGCGTGGTCCTCTTTCCGCTAGCGAGTTCAGCCGCCTCGACAAGGACAAGAGAGTGAAGCTTCCCCGTGACGAGTCACGTCTTCTTGTCCAAGACTGGATGTCTGACTACGACCACACCAAACAACGCCCTCTTTCCGAACGTCTCGATCTCGATGTACTTGCCGACCAGCAAATCCCTCCTGCCCCATTTCCCAAAGAAGATTACGCTACACCTCCCCTCCCGCCCAGCTCGTCATCCAAAGAGCACTACTGTCTAAAGAACGGCCATATCTTCCACCCCATCAACCTCAAGACCGTACCCGACGAGGTCGCCATCAACAGTCTGGAAGTCCGACCGTATCTACACACCGCTGTTGGCTTCAAACAGCATGTTTCTGTCCCTGTTTTCTGCGACCGTTGCAACGAAGATGTCAAAGAAGAGCTCTGGGAGTGCGACATTCATGTTTGTCGTATGGGAGTCTGCAAGCAGTGTGCAGAGGATATGGAGCATGAGTGGCAGGAGCGTGTTGCTGATGCTTGGACTCGTTAAGGGTCGTACATTCATGGTATTTGCGATAAGTCACGACGTGTATATTGAAAGGAAACGGATGTAATGATATGAAGGGTTGTGCAAAGGTAATGAGCAGACGAGGAGCTGAGGAACTGAGCAAACGATGTAAATACCCGACGATCACCGTAGATAAGGTATGATGGAGTAATGACTCTATGATCGATACGCCAACTTTTCCTTGCCCAAAAATCATAGTTGGCCTAAGCCGTTCACTTTTGTACGCTTCCAACGCCGATCCCTCCAAACTTTTGGTGTCGTCCCAGAAGACATCCATCAGCAGAAAGGGAGCACCCCTTAGGCACGAGTCGCCTTCGTCTCGTTCAAAACCTTCATCCCACCATGTTCCTCATCCTTAATGATAACCCCCCTGCCCGTATCCACCCATCCAACACCCTCACCTTTCTCCTTCTCCTTTCCCTTCACAGCCTCGCTCCTACCCATACCCCCACCTCCACCCCCAGTTCCCACGACCACAGTAGCCGAAGTAGCGAAATACGCCCCCACAGCACCCAACTGCCCCGGACCCGCCTGTAACCCATGAATAAACTCGTTCCTCAAATCCTCATGTTCGTTAAACAGCCTATCCCACGCGTCTTTCAACCCCGTCGAGAGATGTCCTTGTCCGTGCGACACGGATAGCGAGCGCAAGATGATGGCGTTGGGGTTCTGCTGCGGGCCTGGCTGCGACCAGTAGGTCGTCAGAGTGTGGAGGAGGAGGTTGCGGAGAGGGGAGGGTGTTAGAATCGTTGATATGGGAGAAGATGAGGGTGTGGTCTCCCGCCATACGTGGTCGATGAGTGTGGGTGTTAGGGCGAAGTGACGGCCTATACCGGAGTAGATGTGTTGGATGGTGTGGTTCATGAAGGAGAGGGCGCCGAGACGTTGGGCGAGGAGCCAGGCGTGGATTGAAGGGGGGATGGGTTGCGGAGAGGTTATGTTGTGTGGGATAGGAGGGGGTGGCATGGTTGTTCGGGTTGGGGTTTGAGCGGGGGTGAGCGGGTAGGTGGGCTGGAAGTGAGATGCCATCTGAGTGGGTGGTTGACGAGGTGCCAGTGTTGTCGCTGGAATGGAAGCAGCGGTGTTTGCGCTGGCTGTCCTCGGGTAAACATGGGCATTGTTTGGCAGAGTCCTCGCGTCCACGTTGGATGGATATGAGTCCTTGTAGATGAACTTGAGGAAAAGACCGAAGATGGCGGGATCCACATCTGGCAACCTGATGATGTTCTCTTCATTCTTTGCGTTCTCTTTCGTGTCTTCCTCTGTGGCAAGCTCTCCATCTTCTTCCTTGATCACCACCATGTCATTGTTGGAAGTGGAGAGTTTGCGCTTTTTGCTAGCTGTATGGTCCTTCAACACCGTGGCGTTAATACGAGTAATTTGGTCGCGGAAGTAGATAGAGTGAACGCATAGTAGAGCGACAGGAAGGGTGTAGGTCCGAGATGATGAATATTGACCAACGATGACCGTGATGGAGCTGCCCTGAATCCTTTCTTGGCATTAGAGGAGTCGCTTTAGACTGCGACATCACCTGCTTACATATCGAGAAACATGTCGGAGTAGGTAACCTTCTGTGGGGCTGCCATTGGTGGAGGTTTCGCTGGCTGTAGAGTCGTTGGGTGCTGCGTGGTGGCGCCCATTTTGGACTTTTAAGTTGCTTACGAGCGAATTATGCTGAAAGAATCGACTTTTGGGGTAGAAGCAGGTTGGTGGAGGATGGAAGAAGCCTCTACCACAATAGACAGCTTGTATATGCGATGGACTTGTAAGAGGTTAGCCAACAAGCGTGGCGATAAAACGTGGCTGTGGGCAGTGAGAGACAACTTCACCTGGTGTCAGGTAAGGTTGGGCTACTAAAACGACATTGCGGCATAAGTGTGTCATGGGGCTGGTGCTATAATGATAGGTTGGTTGACAGGTAGTGCTGCTGTCTTTGATGCTTCATGACGTGACGACAAGATGCACATCGTAGCAACAGTCAACCGCATAGTGAACGTGTTTTGGGGTATATTGTGTCATTATTTCATTCGTTATATAGTAAGTGGTCGCCTTTACGGTACACTACCTGGGTATCAACACTGACTGCGACAATCGCCCTGGCAGCCCGAGTTATTTCGGCTCTTGCTGCCCTCCGAGTACAACGTAGCATCATCCATGATGTCATCCAACTCCACATCAGCTTTCCCTGTCATGCGGAAGCTGGCCTTGGCCGGGCATGTCACGACCGAAGAGTGTTTGTCGCTATTCGCCATCGAGCCACTCTCCTCCATCTTTGTGAATCCGCCACGGTTGCTCGAGCTGTACGTCCTCCTGTTGTCCGTCCACCTTTCCACGTCATGGCAACGTGTAGCGCCATCGCCGAAGAGGTTCTTGTGTTGTAGAAGATTGACAAGGCGGTTGAGGACAGAGAACTCAATCTTGAGCTTGATGCTGTAAATAGCCGTCTTGTATGTGGTTTGAATTTCGTAGTGGCCGGAGAATTGGACTGCGATGAGCGTGATGTCGAAGGCCAGGACTGCGACATTGACGATGATCAAGTGGATGAAAAGCTTTCGTAGAGATCCACGTCGTCGACCACAATCTCCACGGAGCATCTTTACTGTTCGGAAGATGTAGATAACCGAAATGGCCATCTCTGCAGACGCACAAAGTCAGTGTCTGGCTCACATGCGACTCGGATGGAAACACTTACCCTGGACTGAAATAGCAACAATCTGGACCTTGTCGTAGATCTCGAATCCCGGGAGAAACTTGAGGGAATCTTTGGAGTTCGCGCCCATGGCGAAGGTGAATAGAGGGACACCGAGAGCGATCGTGGTGAAGATGATCATGTAGAGCACCCATCTGATCTTCCTAGCGTCCGCGACAACAAGATGCAGGCGTGAGTACAGTACGAGGGACTGTCCCGGGCACATAGTGACCCAGCCCACACCAATGATGGCGCTCGAGAGCAGGTCAAGCTTCGTGACCTGGAAGAACTTAAGGATGAACCCAATGGCGTGAGGGGCGATTCCTCCTGCGGCGATGAGCATACTCCAGAAGTACAACCCGCGGCGTTGTTTGAAGACGGCGAAGATGAGGAAGAGGATCTCAACCATGTTGTACATTCCAATGGCGAGGAATGCAGACATGGTCATAAGGATAGGAATGCTGGCCTGTACGCCGCCAGTGACGCCGGACTCTGAATCTTTGTCCGACATGGTGAAGGTAGTCAGGTGTCTTTCCGTCGACTTCGAAAGTAATGAGATGAATGAGGGTGAGGTAGAGAGCGCATTCGTTGAGATGGCGAACTGAACTGGAGAATCCGATATCCACGTGGAATCCTGGGGTATTTCAATCAAAGAGAGTGTTGGTGGCCTTGCTGATCGACGCAGATGCTGCAAGATGCTGATCAGCGAACATGTTGCAACTATAATTCAGTGTGGTTGCAGTGGTGGCAGACGGTTCATCATGAGAGGAACGCAGACAGCAGAAGGCGTTGCGGACACTACCCCAGAGACTGACTCGATGCATGGGTGCCTGACGGGTTCGTGGCGTTTTTGGTACACTTGGCCATGTCATGAACCATACAGCTGAAGACGGGGTCAGAACGGGGGCGCGGATTTGAGAGCCCCAATGCTAGTCTCTGGTGATCGCTGATTGGGCTCGGGCACCTAATGGCGCATTGCATGATCGTGGATTTCCACAACGGGGCGCGGGTACTGCTTCCCCATCATCGATAACATCGGATCAGCATGTTTAAGCGAAAAAGCAACCAGTCGGAACACAATCCCCTCGTGCGTTTAAACTTACGTTGCTGCCCAGTTGGGTTGCACCTGTACCTGAGTGGTTTCTTCGCTTTCGCGTCAAATCGGCGACTCAACCGAAGCGAAACTCTGTCGGTCGCCCCCATGATGGAAATAAACCCCGGGTCGATTTCGCCCATCTCCGTGCCGTTCTGCGGTATTTCCAGAAGGATCAACAGGTATAAGGCGTCCATGCGAAGAACTTCTTGTCGTTTCCTGCATATGCAACGCATGCGAAGGTTTTCATACACACTCGTGCGCTGAATAGCGAACCACTCGTTCTCGTTCCTGCGATAACCTTGCCACAGCATTCGTCGAGAGCAGGAGGTCCGTGGACGGCTGAAGACGCTGAGTCGGTCCCGTGCGCCTTAATATCGCCAACACCCTTGGCCCTGGTGTTGCGACATCTTGGGCTTGCGCCATCCTATATCCGCAATCGGAATCGTTGATAGCGATGGAATTTGGTTCACACAGCCCCTGCATGGACGCGAAACGCATTATCGCATCATCAAGACAATGCGGCTCTTTTTCGGCGCTTTTGCCTTCTAAGACGGACTATAATAGCTTCGCCTTTGTAGCCCGAACCTATCACTCGAAGTCAGCTAAGCTACATGTGTAGGCCTTCCGTGATTAGTGATGGCTGTTGACACTCTATACCCGGATAGTAAGGTACGATTGTGGGAATAAGAGATTAGTGAATGGATTCATGGACTATGCTAAGTGGCTGTCCGAGTTAAACAACTTGAAGTCGCTCAGGTAGAGTCGTGACCCGCGTCATCGACGATGGTCGTAACTCTATAACCGAATGCAACCCAACAAACCGCTGGAAAGCCTATCTAGTCCCAGGAACCAGGAACCAAAGGTGGCAAAATACAGCACTCGTCATTGTGTGGACGATGTCGCTAAAGATGTCCGTTTAGACCTTGGGCTCAGCGTGTACATTCTCGACATGACCGTGGTCGTGGCCGTGACGTCCGACCTTGAGGTTACCGGCCTCAATGTCGCGGGTGACGCGATCGAGACGCGACTCAACCTTGCCAGCCTTCCAGGCAGGAAGACCAGAGTCGAAAACGTCGTCCATCTCTTCAAGGGTCTTGCCCTTGGTTTCCGGGGCAGTCAGGAACATGTGGATGAAGGCAACGGCGTTGAATGTTCCGAAGATCATGTACATCTTCCAGTTGATGGACCACAGAAGAGGGGGGACGGCAAAAGCAAGAATGCAGTTCCAGCTCCAATTGGCGGCGGTAGCGAGCGACACGGCCTTCGCGCGAACCTTGGCGGGGAAGATCTACAGAGGTAGAACAAGTCAGTGTACGTTTCACATGCATCCCTTACAGTGAGAACTTACCTCGGACGGATATGTCCATGACGTCGGGCCCCATGTGGTTGCGAACGTGGCTACGAAGAGGTATGAGCAAGCGACAATGCCCTTGGAAACGGCGCTGTGCTCGCGAGGTACCACCCAAGAGATGTCTTTGTCGCTAGTGTCTGGGTTAGGAATACCGTAGGAAGCCTGCAGAGCACCTGTAGTATATAGCCAGACAGCCATCATGAAAGAGCCGCAGAGGAGAGCAGGACGACGACCGAACTTGTCGAGGTAGAGAATAGCTGGTAGGGTCATGGCGACGTTGATGATGTACTGAATTGACGCAGTAAGGAGCTCATCGGCAATACCGGCTCCACGCATGATGAAGACGATGTAGTACATCATGATGTTCATGCCGCAAAGTTGTGACCACATCTGGATGGACATACCAAGGATGACACGCTTGACAATGCGAGGCTTGGCCAGGGCGGCGAAGCTAGTCTCAGCAATCTCACGCTCGAACGCAAGCGCCTCTTCGATCTCCTTATATTCGGCAAGAACCTTGGGGTGGTTGACGTTGCCGGCGCCGTGGAGGTTGGCAAGAACCTGTAGGGCCTCCTCCCAGCGGTCCTTGGAAGCCAGCCACCGAGGGGAGCGAGGGAAGAAGAAGAATCCGATGAAGAGGATAGCACCAGGAACAGCTTGGACACCCCATGGGATCCTAAAGGCCGCAGTGCTCTGGTTCGGATTTTTGACGCCTCCATCGACGAAGGAACAGCCGTATTGGATGAAGTATTGGATCAAAATACCCCAGGTGATAGCCTACGCGGAATTAGCTTGAGATCTAGCCTTTATCGAAGAGTGACATACCCATTGTTGCAAAGACACTACTCTACCTCGGATCTCTTTGGGCGCAATCTCGGCTTGGTACACTGGAACGATGGCGGAACAGATACCGATGGCGTACCCACCAATAAGACGACCAACACAGAGGAGAGCAACGCCGTTGGAGGCGGCCTGCAGAATAGCGCCAACAATCCAGATGAGGGCGGCGATTTGTACAGCGTTCCTACGCGAAAGTCGATCGGCGAGGAAAGAGGAAGACAGAGCACCAACGAGAGAACCTGCAGGCATCGACGCAGTGATACCGCCTTGGCGAGTACCGCTAGGGTTGCCGAAGTAGTTCTTGTAGGCGGGAGTACCCAGCGCAC